GTTTTTCGCTTATTAAGATAAAATCTCGGGCATTTGTATGAAATTCCGTTTTATTTTATTTAAGCCTGAAATACGCCATTAATATTCCGTAAATATATCTAAAGAGAAAGATAACAGATACAACATGCTTGGACTTCATCTCTGGTTAAAACAAATAGCACATTTAAATTCTCTCGCCAATCACGTGTTTGATTTTTTGTGAAAATAGTAACTGTGAATTTAAAGGCATTTTGGAGATTTTCCACATTTCTTGAAAGACATAATTTTATTTAACCATCTAAATTTTTAATTGCAAATGAAATATCTCAAGTTGGATGCAACAATGCCAGTGTATTATGTATTTTAGTATTTAGCTAAATTAGTAAATAAATGTATTCTAATCCCTAATGTAAAATTGCCAATTGCGGCACTGGTCAGGCGTGCAAAAAATGTCACAGGTTTCGGAACGATCGAATGTTTTCCATAGATTTTAGCCACTGAAGACATTTTGACAAGTCTGTTGGTCAGGTTAGGCGGCACTCGGAAATTTTCAAAAATGTACCCAAAAATTAATGGTTGTAGAAAAAGTGTAATACGCAACACGTTGATAAACTTCTTCAGTAGTTCGTTTATTAAAAAAAAAAAACTAAATTCTCGTTATTTCGTGAAATTTTTGGCCAAGTTTTATCGAATCGTTCCTTCGATTTCTCAATTTTTAGCGATATGCCACTATTGAAAGACAATCAATCCACAGTCAATCAATCAAGTTCCGGTAAAAATTATGAAACCTCCTCTTTTTTATTACTCTTCTTATAAAATTATTTTGTTAATGTGAGACTAAATTGCCTATCAAAAAGTCAATAGCGTAATTAAGAAAAAGTTTATCATTTTTATCATATTTATCATAACTATCGCTGCTCAGACATAGAGAAAAACATTTGATTTGCCTATGAGAACTTAAAACCATTTAATGTAGTTTTTCATTTTTTGAAATCGTATCATAGTTACTTACTACAACTCTAGCTACAGGAGGGTCCAAAATGGGCCTTTTAAAGGAAAAGTTCATTTTCTAGAGAAGATAGACGAAAACTCATGTTGGTGTCTAGGGCTCTATCGGAGTGACTTTTGCCAGTTGTTGCTTGAAAAATGTAACCAAGTATGTGGTTTCCCGTTTATTTTATTTGAATTTATTTAATATAAAAGATTAAACTAAAACTAAAGAAGTCATGCAAAATATCAAATGTGCCATGTGTTGGAAGGAAAGTTCTGATTAATGATTTACAAATGTTCATGATAGAAATATACATAGCAGTTATGTAAAAAATATATTTTTCTATTGATTATTGTTAAGCTAACTGTTTTAAAAAATATTGTATTTATACCGTTAAATTGAAAGGTGCTTTGGAAATATTTTTACTGAAACACAAACTTTTCGCTAGCCAAAGCAGCGGCTTCTTAAAATGCAAATTTTGCAAAACACCTTTAACCAACTTGTGTTTTTCATGAAAACTGAGCACCAGACAATAACTCCAGTTTACATCTATCTCTTTTAAAAGAGCATGTTATTTGGTCCACCCTTTACAATATCATGAAAAAAAAAATTACATTTAATTCAATCAGGTCCTAGTTTTAGAAAGATCTTTCCTGACACCCAGGAAATTGTGCGGTAAATGAATTCTTTGGTCTTAATTACCAAAAATCAAGAAAATTTTATATGTTTTGATATTGTAATGCGAACACATTTTAATTACAATGTTTCATGTTAAAATTCAACTTCAAATGAAATATCGTTCGTACAATTTTGACGATTATTTAAAATTTTTGTTAATTATTTTTCACTAGCTTACAACACTGCGAAAATGAATGTTACGAATCAATGTGTACTTAATAAAGAAGGAATCGAGTGTGGTATATTCCCAGCCTGTTTGAACTGAAGAGATAAACATCAATAGTCACGCTCGAAATACCAATTTATTTTTACTAGCTTAACAGCTAGACAAAGACCTTTAAATACATATTAATAAAAATATCGCATTATGTTCGTATTAAGCGAGTAAGAGAGTACATTGTCACGCGATGTTGCCGTTGGTTGAGGATATTTACGGCATTGAAAGTTTTAAAACAGAGCTCGGGAATATGATTCACCTGTGATATACGTGTTGTGCGCGGATAGTTTTTAGAGTGAGTAATGCTTCCCGTGAAATCGTTTAAGGGTAGGACATTCTCGGGGCTTATTTATTAATTAAAATTTATAATACTTTTATAATGAAAATATCCTATATCATATTGATATTTGGAAATCAGGGAATGTTAATTGCGAAAATAAAACAGCCCCAACAGATATTTTTTGTTATAGCTTTAACAAGTAAAATTAATTCTTGATTATAATTTACCAAATTAATTAAATTATTATTTAAAAAAAAAAATATATTTGTTCTACTCGATACTCTAAAATATAATAATACATATAAATAAAATGATTATATGATTAAAACTTTAGTAAAGGCTTTATTACATTTCCTAGGCACATTACTTTGGAGTGAAAAAAATTAGTGTAAGCTTTAATTAAAAATGCAATTAGTATAAACTACATTATTTAGCATTGTCTTCAGCTGGTGTGAATAAAAGTAAACAAATCCTCATTATATAAAGCAAAAGTTAACATTTTTGCAGGCCTGGTATATCCTGAAATGGCAGAAACAACTGCATTTATGAATATAAGATCTTTGAAATTTTATCTCGAAAGAGAACAAAGACGTGCCAACAGTTCCAACAGCACATATAAATTCCGTGCGGTAGAAGTTGAATAGGTACCTCATTATTGCATGTTCCATGAGTTCCATGTTCCATTACAGATTCTATCGACGTCGCACCTGAAAAAAGTTTATTTATAAAGCAGAAGCAAGACACATTTTTTTTTCAAAAAAATGCCTTCTTAACATGTTCAGCAGTTAATTTTTTTTTGTGTAACATTGTGTGCTAAATATTTGCTGGGATGCAATACCGCTTATATGTAGCCTACTTTGTTATCGCTTAATAAATAATTCTTAATAACATTAATAAAGTTAACCTAAAATTAACAGTAAAACAGATCTACAATATTTACTCCATAGATATCATTCATTTCAGAAATAGCCATATTTATCATCTACCAATTCCATTTTTCCCCTTGAAATAGAAAATTGCATTATACAAAATATACATAATTATTACAAATGAAAGAATATATCCAACACAGTAAGATATAGCAAAAAACACTTTACAGATTTATCAAAGCTTCATTTTAATTTGCACTGTTCGTTTTCTTAATGCCGGACATGTAAACGAATCCTAAAATTAAAAGCCCTGTCCCGTTCTTTCTCATTATATTTTGACACATTTCATGTTCGTTGCGGTGTTGTCAAGCTGGTGATTACGGACTTTTTCTGAAAGTTTATGAATGATGAGCATATGTATCATATGCTTGTTGGATTCACTAGGGTTAAATGTCATTGGTTTCCCTTTAGAGCAACTAAAATTACGAATTACAAAATTATTAAATAATATGTTGCTTATTAAATATGGCATTCCTTCAAAAGACATTGTTCCAACTCGAAATTATTGTTATCAAAAAATCGGATTTTCAATTTTCTTTGTAAAAATAACTAAAAACAAAATGTTTCTTTCAGAAAATTAATCAAATCAAAAATTAATTAATTAACCAAAATTAATCTTTTTTTTACGTCTGTGGTTATTGGTTTGATTGTGAATCAATAAAACTATTGAATATGAAATGTTTATGTTTTAAAGGCGATCATTGATACGCTAACATTTTGAAAATGCCAAAGGGTCTTTTTTTATGTTATTTTTTAGTTTATCTTGGTTTGCCAGCAAAATTTTGAGAAAACTTATTTTGGCGGAGGAAGGCTGAAGTTCTCATTAATTCTTCCACATTATTCGATGCTAATGTGTGTGTTAAATGCTTTTTAGCATAATATAAACGGCACAGTAACATTCGACTCAAAAATGGCTTGGCTTGAAATAAGCTCAGATCCAAAGAAGTCAACATCTAAATCTTCTTCAGACATATTTATCATTTTTATTTATTTTTTAATTGTACTTTACTGGTTAATATTTTAAAGGAATTCCGCAAGCCCAATTTTAGGGCTTTAGCATTGGGTAAATTTAGTCGAGATATTAAGCGTTAACAAAACAAAAACAGTTCTTACAATTTATAATGATAGCAGCTTTAAAGTGTTCATTTGAATATTTGGGATAAGGTCAACGTTGCTAGTAGAAAATTATATTGACATGTTTATCTTTTTATCTCTGCTATAAGCGTATGAAGATTTTTCTAATCACTTCTTTGTTTCGAAAAGATTCATAATAAAAGTTATCATCTGAGTTTCAAAAATGCATTGCAATATCATATAATGTCTGAATGAAGTATTAAAAGGTCCAATGAAGCAAAAACATTAGTGGTTTTTCAATTTTACAATGTTTTTTCTCTCTTCATTTGCTACAAAATAACTCTTGATTATAAATTTCATACATACACAAATTATATTTGAAACGAGTTTACAAATGGGTGATAACGGCATAAAAGAAGATTAAGCTAAAATATTTAAATTAACAATCAAAAATTAATATGGCTCAAATTAAAGTAATATAATTTTCATTTTTTTCTTTAATAATTTTAAGGAAGTTATTATTCATTTCAGGGAAAAAGGCAGTTTATTAGAAAGTTTTATTCAGGTATAGTATATCAGAAAAGTTTACATTTTTGGTATTGGAACCATGTGTACGTATCATCAAATGTGTCATTATTTTTGTTAAAAATGGTAGACACTCAAAAATATACAATCCAATATATCTAACTAGTGCAAAACTTCCCAAAAGTGTCTTGGCAATTAATTTTCTTTATAGTGCAGACTCTCTTTTGATCAATGAAAATTTTCTGAATATCAGAATATCCTCGACAGAAGAAGGAAAAAGGACACACACACTAGACTTCTTTGAGACTGCATTTCTCTAGACAAAACTCTATCCGACCTTTGCCGATTTACAGTCCGGCCCTCTCCGACAAACTTGCTCCATCGTGGGTCCGTCTCTACCAAAAGTTGGAGCGACGATCAGTTAAGCCGCGAACGGCTCGCATGTTGTTATTCTCGGTGACGCTCCCTTCTGCACTAGATCGAAACGCGCGCTTTTCGATACATTCTCCATTAAAATTTAAGGATTTTGATCCTTCGAACCGTTTCCGCGAATGACTGACACCATGATCCAAGGCGGGTGACTTTTAATTTCGTACACGAACGATGTGGTAAGGCAGACCTGAACAGTTTGGGGTTAAAAAATGGAATCGGAATCACTGTCCCGACCCGATCGGGTAAAAAAGGTCCCTTGCCATGTAGACAAAAAATCGTGTTTTACGGGATTTAATATAGTGATTAGTGTGTTGTGTTTAGTGAGTGTCTTGTCCAGTGCGTTAAACAGTTGGCGCGATCACCAGATGAGATCAAAGTTGAGTGATCTCCAAGATAGGGTAGCTTATTTGGAAATAAAATCGGTAGAAAATATGGATGTTCTGGTGGAAAGGTTTCGAAGGGAAGCTATTTATAACATCAGAGGCAGGGTGACTAGGGATTTAGCGTCTAGAAGGGATGGAGACAGAGTCGCGCGGGATGCTCCCGAATGTGTTTGTCCTGCAGGTAGGTCCTTTTGTGATGCGAGCACTTCGTAAATAACTTTTGAATGATGGTGCGTTTGACATCCAAAATGTAGATTTTTTAAATTTTAAAATAGTATTGTATATGCCTATTAGCTACTGTTTCATTTTACTATATTTGGATTCTAATAGATTTTAATGGTATTTTTCTGGGTTAGCTTGTACCTAAGCCGTGTTATCATTTTCGTAACAGGGTGTTAGCATATAGACACAGAATTTGTTGTTGTTAGATATACATGTTGATTAAAAGCGACAACAGCAAATTTGAGCAAGCCGATCTATAAAAACAAACCAAATGTAAAGAGCTTTCCCTCTTAATATATTAAAATGTTTTTGAAACAAAATTGCAGCAAATTTGTTGAACTTGGTAGGGAACATTTCGTGAAACCAAAAATTTGTTTTCCCTCTTGGATTTCCATCAAGCGCGCGGAAGGTACTGATTGTCAAAGTACCCATCAACACTTCCAGAAGATTTTTAAATAAAACGGCTTCCTAAAAAGTGTGGAATTCTTGACAGAATAATTTTATTAAAGCAAAGTTTCCGATAAATTAATAAGTAGCGTGCGGTATTAATAAATTAATAACCGTTTGCATATCACATATTTGTTTAAGTTTTTAATGCTCTTTTCACTTAACAACATTTTATTTAATTTTGATATATTAATATTTTATTCGTTACCTACAGGGACATCTGGGAATAGGTAAACTATCCTCAACTGACGATACAAATTTGTGACAATACAATTTGCTTAATTTCGCTAATGGGTAACCGTTTTCACCAAGGTCGTGTATTGTCTGTACATGTTAAAATTAAAATTATCATTTTACATTTGTCGGTATATTCCGAGGTATATTCATTAAACGTGTGGCAACATCTACATTATAGGGAAGGGTATTTATAACGCAAAGGCACGGAATTAATGAAGCATAAATGTTTTGGTTAGTTTTATAAAATCTCAAGACAGTCTTTTCACTAGTACAACAAAAACACACTCAGAGTTTTTGATAGCTATTGAATGTGAAAATTGTGAGTTCTATTTTTTAAAATCATTAAATGAGACAAGACAAGTTGATATTGCAATCCACAAATGTAGATTTTCTTTTCTAAAAAATGTGACTATTTAATCGGCTCTATCGCAGTAGGGGTACCCCAAAACGTGGCATTCTATTTTCTGCGCCACTATAGCTAGCCTCAAATTTATCCCAATTTTATAACAGACGCATACTGAATTGCTGTATTTGTCTTGTAATATGCCATCCGGAAGCACTACATGTGCACACTACTTTACATAATTTGACCACGTCCAGTCCGTAGCTACAACAAACCGGCAAGTGGGCAACTAGATGGACGAATGGCAACAAGTTGTAACGGCATATTGAATTCGAACAATATATTTGCCCCGACAGACCATTGCAACTACGTTTGATATTGTTTCGATTGTGTGCAGGGCGAGAATCCTTGAAAACGATATGCAAGATTTGATACGCTGTATTTGCTATGCGTATGACACTATTATTAAGGTTGTACCTTTGGGTTCAGGTCTTCAACTTGATTAAAGTACGTAGGTGGTCTGTACGCTTTTGGAAACCTATGGAATAAATGGAAGAATGAAGCTACTGAATTTTAGCGAATAGTCTGAAAGATAAATGAACAATATTGCGGCAGAATATGGAAGCCGTTGAAACAATTTGTATTATTACCGGGATTATTATATAACTGGCAAAACTGTAAAAGTGTCCCTTCTTTGGTTGTTGTGTCAAATCAGTCTTACATCGTAAATAATGAAAGTTTTTCAGCTTTTAAAATATTGCTAAATATAAGTTTCTTTTCTTATAATAAAACAATTATAATAATATGGCATGCGGTTTCATGAAATAAAACCGATTGGGTGTGAACTAACCGCAGACCGCTTCAAAACTTTTTCGTGTTATTATAACTTTTTTAAAACCTGCCGAGAAAGTTTCGGTGGTTAATAAGAAATTCTAAACCGTCGCAAGAAACACAAATCTGAATACCAACCCTCGTCAAACTTGCTTTCACTTGCTTAAAGGTGGAGTATTTGAATTTTTCCCAGTCTCACGCCAAATATGGGAGGTTGTTATGTTTTGTTTTAATGCACCCTTGAATATCCACTATAATTATTACTCGCATTTAGCAACCTTTTGTGTTATGAAAATAAAAAGAAAATGAACGGTTAGTAATTACACTTTCCTCCGTGATTTTTTTTTAGTAATAAATGTGAATTAGAATTCGTAAATAATAAGACAACAAATAACAACAAACTTTAACAAAACAACATTTTTCGTTAATCGACAAAACTATTGCGCGAGGTTTTGGCTAGTTTGGTAATGGATCACGTTGCATTGTATCGTGCTGTCGTATTACATTAGTAAAAAGTATACTTAACTCTTTTTGAAGGTGCAGTATTCAAAAATGCTTACAGCAATGTTGCCAGATTCATCACTTTTACGTTACACCTCATAATTTTGTTACTTTAAATCAAATTCGCTATCAATTTTTGTTGCAATGAATTTCGAAGTTTAACAGTGAGAAAGGTTACCTGAATTATAAATATCCATATCCATATCCAGATATTCCATTTTGTCGTTTTAGCTTTGGCAGTTTCGGAGATAGTAAAGCGTTCCGCTAATTTTTATTACGCAGTTATTTTTTCATATGATGGTAAATAGGTATTAGATAATATAAGGACTGTGGTTCTAGGCTATGAATTTTCGTAAAGAATTATTTTTAATTTTTAGATGTTGTTATACCCTCCTGGTCCAGTAACACATTTTAAAAATATGCATCAAAATATCATGTTTATACATGATATTTTGAAATTTGTTAAACTTTATTGCCTTTTTTGGGGCACATACAAGGATCATGCAAGATAGTATTTTTCTACTCCGTACTCTAGAATTGCTAAAAATTAAAAATCAATGAAAAAAAATAGTATGCAACAGTTTTTATAAACTTCCTCGACCATTCGCACTGGATTATTAAATACTCGCTTCGCAGCGCTTCGTTTGTGCTTAAACAAACTTATGACTAAATACTACTATAAAGAAAAATTGTTGGTCGCTGTTGCAACGTTATCAGTAATGGTTTTGTTGCAAATTATTTTTTTAAATAATACAATTATAGGCTAGGTGAGGTTATTTCTGTTTGGTATCTTTATCGAACTGTTACTGACTAGTTCTACATAAAAAGAATTTACTGACTTAATGCATTATTCGCAATTTAAAATACTAACAAAAAATACGACATACAATATTTTAAACAATATAAAATTATGTCTTTACTTTTCCTTTAGGTAAGTGATTCTTTAAATTAAATAAACAATAATCTTGGAAATATAAACATGTAAAAATAACATGTAAATATGGAACAAGATGTTTTACAATAAATTGTCAACAGATGTAAAACACTGATTTAATAATATTCGAAAGAAATGCTAAAACTTGACAAACCACTTATTTAGCGAATTGTTGGAAAATACTTTCTAATGTTATATAGATATTACTATAATGTGAGGACAATAACCTACTACTACTAGTACTGGCGCAAAATAATTATGGGATCGCCCAATAATCACTAGTCTAGAAAGAGCAAATAAAATCTGGTAACGCTTAGTTACTAGTAGCTTTTTATTTTTAAGTCAAGCTTTTGCCCAAGTATTCAGGTTTCTTTGGGGTTCTAAAATGAATGAGAAATATTCCATCACAAACAAGAAACAAGAAAGCAATGTCGATTCATACATCAATTTGCCATTAACCATCCTCTGAAATTCGACAAAAAAAAAACAAAAAACCTATATCCCGACGACTCGTCGTTCATTATAAAACACTATTTTAGGTACACTTAACAAAATCTTTGGATCTACATACCTTTCACCCGTTTTTCACAAAAAATTTACAACTTCCATTAGAATATAGTCATATTGAAAAACATTTGCACAAGACCTAGTTGAAATGTCCATTTTATTTTTGCAGGGTGCGAAGATTTTATTTACTGATGCCGAATCTGCAGTAATTTTACGAAACAGAAACATCTTAGTAAATAAATATTGAGGTGAAGTTTTTTTTCGGTATTTAAACCATAGCTTAGAATTAAGAGATATTGTCTATATGTATGGGACTTGTAGTAAATATTAACTGGCTTTGCATTTCCCTGGTGACTTTACACGTTTACTTTATCTAACTAAATTTCATCGTAATTAACTCTGCGGGATTGGCCATCCCTAGTTGGAGAAGAGTCCATAAAACCCAAACGTTGCGTTGGTGATATTATGTTTGTCGGAAAACAGGTTTTCTTAAACTACAATCTTTATCATTTGGATATCATCGCAACAAACCTTGAAGTGTCTACGAGAAAAAATCAAAAATTCGTCTTCGGCGTTCTAGTGCATATAAATTGAAACATAATGTTATTTAAATGTATTCACTCAAGTCGCCGGATTGATATAGATGGACTAAAGATTGAGATTTGTACGACAAAAAAGGTGACCAGTCGGTAGATTTGATTTGTCAACATGGACGCCGACTGCCACGAATATTTTCCGCAAAATAAGTAGCAATATTTTTTTCGCGTTGTTTTGGCCATTTTCCTATCTGAGCACGTCAATAATTACAAAATATTCTCACACGCTAATTAGAATGAAAAAACGTGAAATGTTTTGACGGACCTTTGAATCGAGCTTATCTTTTCATTCGATTTTTCATTGCGGCCGACTCATAATTCGACCGAAGAATTCAAACTTAATTAACGAATAATGCGCTCGCTGGCAAGAACTAGTTCTGCTAGTCATTAAAAATATTTAAAACACCTGCAAAAGTGAGCTTAAATCGACGATTAAATGCGAAGCGGTAACGAAAAACATGTACAGAGAATTCCATCATATTCATCCATTATCGCGATTATGATATACGTAGAATGTTTTAATGTATTCGCTATTTGAAGGACTGAACAATGAATTATTGTAT